CCTTCTTCTCTCTTATGCTTTTCTTCAAGCAATGAAATAGAGTTTGGGGGAATTATACACCATTGGGGACAATGTGATTGATTGAATTGGGGGAAGGGAATTTTAGCTAATTTTTTTTGTTTGTGTTTTGCTTAACATGGTTGGAATGATTACAAAGTAAGCTTTGAAGATTCTCAATATCTTAGTTAAATAAGTGGTTAACATAATTGATTCTCAATTCTAGGCATATTTAAGTTTTTGAATTTGAAAATTTTTGGAATTTAAATATGTTATTGATCTACAATTATTTGTTTCTAGAGTTTTTAAACACTGATTTTTTATGAAAGAGTTAATGATATATAAGGTGTGGTTTCACTCTAAAGTAATTTTAAAACTCGCATTCCTAGAACAAAAACTTAGAAAATCCCTTTCGAGGCGAAAAATTTAAATGTTTACGTTTTGAAAGAGATGATTTAGGCAATTTTTTGTTGAAACCTATATTTAGCCTAGACCACCTAAATTAAAAATATGACTTTTGAAACCAACTTTGAAGCCTAAAAACCGTAAATTTTTCTTCCTCACCCTCAATAAACCAAGCCATTAAAACCAAAATTCAATTTTCCTACCCTAAGTACAAAGGATTGTATGATTGAAATATTCGATTTTTAATTAGAATGTAGCAACAAAAGAGGGAGAATTCATCAAATAATACTAGCAAATAAAGAAAAGAAGAAAGAATCAAGAAAGAGGCACAATTCAAGAAGAGGCACATGAAAGCAATCAAAAAGAATTCAAGAAAAAAAATAGAAACCAGCAAGGATATGAAAATGCCAAAAATATTAAGAAAAAGACGCTTGTCCAAGATGCCCTCTAGGGCTGTAAGAAAGTTTCAAAACAAGGCACTCCCTAGAACTGGAAAAAGTTTAATTAAAATAGAAATCTTGAAAGTTAAATAACATTCTTTTGTACTTTTTTTGTCTACATTTTTTTCCTCTGTTCCTTTGATTAAGCAAAGTTTAACCAAAGAAAGCCCCGTTACAACCCAAAATAAAGACCTTCTGATCTTTTAATCATATGCATTTAAATCGTGAGAAAGGATGCACTAATTCTGCATATGGGAATGCCACCTTTGCTTCTATCAATTGTCCCTTATTTTTAAATGCTTTACGATTGATTCATGTCCTGTTTCATCATAATTCGAGATAAAGTATTAGTGTTGACAATCTCTTTAACTGTAATTTTTACTCAATGACGTGTTTTCTTCAAAAAATAAAAGAGTCCAAGCTTAATGTGAATAGCATAGGGAATAATTAAGTCTATTCACTTGATTTTACTAATCATGATATCTTTGAAAAGGTTATTGAAGATTATCCTCCAAACATGGTAGCTAGTGTCGTCAAAATCTTTTTCTTTTAAGTTTTTGTTGCTTGAGGACAAGCAAATGATTTAAGTTTGGGGAATTTTGATAGGTGTTAATTTTATAGTGTTTTAATATAGTTTTTATAAGAACTTTTAGCAAGTTTTTTATTGCTTTAATTTTGAATTTTTAAATCACATTTTAGTATAAATTGTGTTAACAAGCTTCCTTGACTTTTTAATCCGCTTTGATCTAAGAGAAAATTAACAGGAATTGGCGGCAGGAAAAGAGCTCTATACACAAGGGCACTTGACTTCTAAGCACGCCCGTAATAAGTGGCACGCCCAAAGTCGCGAGCGCGACATTCACAAGCGCGAGCGCGACAATTAGAAAAGAGAGTCAGAAGATTTGCAAAGAAAAGTCGCGAGTGCGACATTCGTATACGCGAGCGCGAGCTGAAGTCGCGAGCGCGACATTCATGTACGCGGGCGCGAGAAAGCACCTTTGAGAGGCAGAAAGTTTGCCAGCAGAATACGCGAGCGCGACTTTCATATGCGCGAGCGCGAACTTGAGAGGCAGAGAGAAGCACACCCTGCCTGTGCTCTATAGCACGCCCGTGCCTCAGGACTTCACTAGCCCGTGCTACCTAGCACGCCCCGTGCTTCACTAGCCAGACCTCCAGACTACAGCACGCCCACCAGACCTCCAGACTACGCAGCACGCCCAGCCCGTGCCATGAAAGCACGCCCTCGCTGCCAGAGCGGAACCAGCGTGAATTTTAATACGCAATATCAAGCTCTTTCTCACCAGGGGCCGACTTCAGGGAGTTTTCCTAAACACACTAACAAGCCTGGACCTTAATTCTTTAGGGAAAAAGGGAGTCCCTAATCAAGAAGAATCAAGAACCTAAACGTCAATGATCTCCTATAAAGATTTTGCACTAAATAAGGATTCTATTCTAAAAGGATAAGGATTCTATTTCCTAAAAGGAGTCAGATTTGCTTTCAGGAGCTCTATATAAAGAGGGGAACTTCTCATTGCTGGGGATCTCATTTTTATGCTATTCTCTACATAATTCTCTCTTCTCAAGGTCTCCAAGCATCCAAGATTAGTGCCAAGATTCAAGGAAGCCATCCACATAGCTGTGATTCAGTTTTTACTTTTAAACTCTTCATCTTGTTTTTTTTTTCATTACTGTCTTTAAGTATGATGATTGATTCAAGTATGATTGAGTTTGATTTAATTACTATGTCCAGCTAAACTCCTATACTAGGGATTTGATGTAACTTAATTCGATTCCAATTTATAATAGTAGATTTATTTTTCATTGCTCTTGTTATAACTTATTATTGTGCTTAAAGCTTCCAGGCAGAAAAATTCCCCTGGATTGAGTTATTTCAATAATCACTATCGAGAGAAGGGTTATTGATATGGAAAAGATAATAATTTACTTAAGAATAATAACTTGATGCGGGAGCTATATGGTTTGACTCAAGGGGGGTTTTCATAAGTTAATGATTATTAGGTTATATTTAAGGTTGTGAATTCATAAACAACCATAAAACCTAAATGATCTGATTCATTGTTTAATTTCACTATTAATATAGGTGATTAAATTGGATTAGAATAGCTAACAATAAATGGGAGAGCTTGTTAGTAACCTTAGGCTTGGTTTTCTCCTACTTGAAACAATTAAAAACTTATTAATGATAAGCTGGATAGAATTGAATGAAATCAAAATTCCCTAGTTTCTTAATCCTTTGATTTCTTTTCACCTGAATTTTGTGTTTGATCTCTTTTGTTTTTTTTTACTTTAAATTTTATTTACTTTACAGCGAACTCCTTTTATCATCGTCTAAATAATAATAGGTTAACATAATGTTGGTAATTGATAAACAATCCCTGTGGATACGATACTTTCTTACTCTATATTACATAATTTTGGTAATTGATAAACAATCCCTGTGGATACGATACTTTCTTACTCTATACTACTTGTTGCGATTTCGTACACTTGCGAAAAACGCTGTCAAATAGCTCATAATCCACCATAAAAATATTAGAGCCAACAAAATATTTCCAGAAACTTCAAATCTTGCGTAAGAAATGGGTAGCGAGGTTGCGTTCTCTTCTAATCCCATCTCAAAAGCAAAATCAAAATAGAAAATCGAAGATTGTGAGTCCTATGAACACCAATCCATTGCAGTTTGCTTAATAGTATCGCCTTTCAAATTGCCCACAGATTGATGAGTACCGTTTCGTCTATGTAATGGTCGCCTATGGGATTTGAGGGGTGAGAAAGATTGATGAAGAAGGAGGAGTGAGAGAGATTAAGGAAGAAAGATGAAGAATACGTTTGCTTGTGACTTTAAGAAAGTTACGTGATTCTCATGTGCTTCTATTCCTTGTCAGCCCTACAATTGAGTTGGCGTCATGTCAGCTTTTTTATTTTAATTGGATGAGTGGGTTCAAATCGTCCTATTTAAAAATCCGGCTATCCATATGGGCAAGAGACACTTGATTGATCAATTTTAATGGTTCAAACACTTGATTGCAAACGTTTTCCATTCAGACATCAAAATATAAAATTTTAAGAAATTCAGACACCAAATTTATAATTAACCATTTTCTAATATAATAGATTTTTTATATCAACCAAACAACATTGAAAATTTATTTTTTAATTCACTTCCCTAAAATTCCGAGGACCAAACCTTTCCTTAAATTTTTAAAATAGATTTCAAATTTGATAATGTAGAAAAAGTTGTTAATTTGATTTATAAAATAATGGCATATATTTTTCTTTAAAAAAGCACCCCTCTCCAATATTCTTATCTATTTTTCATTTTTTGGGTTTTTCATTCACTCCCCTTTGCTCATATTTTGTTTTGTGCATTTTAGGAATAGAGCTCGCTATATGTTCTCAAATCCATTATTTTTGGTAGATTTAAATGATTTTGGAACTTTCTTGGTAGGATTTGGTACCATCTCAATAGGGTTGACACGTTCTTGATAGGGTTTGTTTATATTTTCTCTTCTTTTATAAAGATATTCCTCCATGTAGATGAGTTTTTATATATGTTCGTGTTTTATTATTCTTTAGAAATTCAAAATATAATATGAATTATAATTCTTTTATGTTAGAGATTTTAAATCTTTTAAATGTAAGTAATATTTTTATACCGAAGTGATAGTATGATTTGTTCCTTTATTGATTTTTGATAGAGTCAACTATTTTATGTATGTCAAGTGTAGCAAATTTTTACGGGTTAGAGTTATAGAGAGTTTTCTTTTTTCCGTTCGAATTTGACTAGTTATGGAAAATTAATTTTTTCTACCAAAATTATATTCAAACAAAAATATTAGTTGTTTTTGTTTATATTTCTTATTCTCTAATAAGGAAATTATAATTAGTGGATATTTACCTTTATCAGTTCATTCAGGGACGCAATTTTAGAAGATGTATGACTAAATAAAATACAAGTTACAATTAAGAGCTCAAATAAAAATATTTTTAAAATATTAGGTACCTTTCAAGATCGGTGAAATGATGATGATAGCCATTTAGGAAATAGTGCAAAATAGAAGGTCCAAATAGAGAAAAGAAAAAATGAAAACGACGTACCGTTTTGTCCCCCCTTACATTTCCATTCTCGGCGGTTCTTTCTCCATTTCAACAATGCAATTTTGTCTCTCTCAAAACTATACCCACTTCACTGCAAGAATCAAGACTCCTCTTTGTCCTATAACTCACGTGCGTTCCTGCTCATTGACCATTAAGTCACGTGCCACCATCGCCGGCGAGTCAGATATGGCGGCGTCCTCAGTCCGTGTTGCTGCAGCTCAGATGACCTCAATCAATGACCTGGCGGCCAATTTCGCTACATGCTCTCGCCTTGTCAAAGTAATTTGTTTATTTATTTATAATTTTTAATGAGATTCTCGCTTAATTTCCACATAAGTTTTCTCTGTTAAATCTTTTTTTTTTTGGTACTCTTAATTTTGAATTTTGTTTCTTGAACTTACTTGATTACTGTAATTTGATAATTTGATGATTTGGGTGATGAGTTTCTTTCTTCCTTCCCTTTTTTTTTTTTTAAAGAAATTGCTTTAAAATAGCTTTTTAGTTCACTGTTTTATCAAGCATAATTGTAATTGTATTATGTCCAAAGGAAGCAGCCGCTGCTGGTGCTAAATTGCTCTGTTTACCAGAAAGTTTTGCTTTTATTGGGGCAAAAGATGGGGACAGTATAAAGATTGCTGAACCTTTGGATGGTCCAATTATGCAACAATATTGCTCTCTTGCCAGGTTTTTTTTCCCTTTAAATTTCTTTGTTGCAATTAGTGCTGCTTTCGTTTCTGTTGATATTTGTAGGTTTTGTTGTTGAGTTAGACCTATTATTCTTATTATTGACTCGTAATTGGGTTCTGCTCATGCATTGCAGAGAGTCTGGCATTTGGTTATCACTTGGAGGCTTCCAAGAAAGAGGATCTGATGATGCACACCTACGCAACACACATGTTATCATTGATGACAGTGGGAATATTAGAAGCACTTATCGAAAAATATTCTTGTAAGATGATTAATTTATTGTTTTGATTGGATGCTTTTGTTTCTAGTGTTCTTTTGTTTTTTGAGCATTTGTAGAAGTAATTTATTGCAGTCAGATTTGCTCGAACCTGTCCTTTTCGCTTCTGAATGTAGGATATGTAGTATTCCATTTTCAGTTTCTGGTGGGCAGTGATGTGTATAGCATGCCAAATATTCATTTATGACTTCATTTTATTTTCTTCTTTGGTTAGTGACTTGTTGGAAGATTGTTATCATACTTAGGATGAAACAGTTAAACAGTCAACAAAACTTGTATGAATCCATGTAAATGTGCTCTGGCATATTCTCACATCCTTATTCAGTTATTCCTCTACTACTTACATTTCCTGTCAGAAGAAGGAAGATGGCTTTCCTTCCATTTTTAGATTGAGGAGATGATTAACTTAAATCTTATCAGAAGAAATATGAAGTAGCTTTAAACTTTCACTTTCATTATATGCTTATCGCAGAGCAGACCTCTTGTCGACAATTACACTACAAGCCATTAGTCTCCTCCCTCCATATAACGGTTAGCATTTGAGCAGATGTGTCTGGTTTGGGGAAAACTAGTTTCCTCAAAGCAGTACTGTGTTTCATTTGGTACACATTCTAGAATAGCATGTGTTTTTCTAATGTTTGGGAGCACATGCTTAATAACAATAATTTATAACATTCAGTCTAATGGACGTAGAATATGAAATCGATGTGTAGGAAAATGGGTCGACTCAAAGTTCTGAAACCTGCAATTGCAGCTTTATGTAATGTATTAAATAATAGACAAATAAAATAAATAAATAGAGAAGTCAATAAGACTTAATAGGAAATTGACTAACATCAAGGTTTTACCGCTTTGAAAAAACCCAAGAAATTTTTATTTTTTGTTGTAAATAGGCCTTTACATATTGCCATATCATATAATTGTTTCTGCATTTGCTTGATTCAAAATACACCTTACACCCCAATGATAAAATCTTTGTTAAGAGTAAAGTTAATGAAAGTTTTCTTTGAAATAAAGGTTTGATGTAGATGTTCCTGGTGGAAGGGTATACAAGGAAAGCAGCTTTACTGAAGCTGGTAAGCTCTTTATCTATGTGTCCGATTTTCCTGTAATATGAATAATCTTCTATTCTATACAATTTCAGCCTGATCTTATGCACATTTGGTTAACTGACAATAGAACTAAATATACAAAAAGCATATTTGAACCCCTTTAGGCATTCGTTCGTCCATTTCTCCTTAATTGAATCTTTTGAATATACAAGAAGATAAGTGGACTACTGGTCTATATGCTCGTAACTGAATGTGGCATGCACACCAGACGATCTGGAATGGGGATAAAGATTCTATAATCCTCTTTTTCCCTTGGGTCAAGGTATTTTCTTTCACATATTTACTTGCCTCTGACTTACAAGATGTCACTTGATAAGGATTAGACGTGTTATGTATGGATCCATAAAGTTCCTGGCTGTTATGAAAATTTTCATGTTATTAGTTATTTAGTGGTTGTACACAATCTTATATGTTTACCCAATCTATATTAACTATATTTCCAGGAAAGGATATAGTTGCTGTTGATAGCCCAGTTGGACGATTGGGTTTGTCAGTTTGCTATGATTTAAGATTCCCAGAGCTCTACCAGCAGCTCAGGTTCCAACATGAAGCACAGGTAGAGTTTGATTTCTTAAACTTGGCAGTGAAACTCGGTGTTTAGCATTTCATCCTTGAATGTTGAATCTATTGTCATTCTCTGCAGATTCTATTGGTACCTGCAGCTTTTACCAAAATAACTGGTCATGCTCACTGGGAAATTCTGCTTCGAGCTCGTGCAATCGAAACTCAATGCTTTGTACGAAGACTGTTTTCACTGCTAACTGAATTGAGCTTTTGTTTCAGTAATACGATTGGCACCTTCAACAATTGCCTTAATATCAATTATTTATACTATGTCAAGTTTCTTAACAATCTCTATCTTATATGTAATATTTTTTTCTTGTCCCTTTCTGCTTGCCATGTTTACATTATCAGGTAATAGCTGCTGCACAAGCTGGGAAGCATAATGATAAAAGAGAAAGCCATGGTGAAACATTAATAATTGATCCTTGGGGAACAGTGGTTGGTAGATTACCGGGTAAGAACTAGCATTGCTAGTACTATTTCAAATTCCAATTGCTTATTCTTAAAAACAAGTGCCTGTATCTCCTGAGTTCCAATTTGGATCCAACTGTTTGCTTTGCCAAATCTTGTTTGGTGTTATTTAACACATTCATTTGTAATTTTTCTTGCTTTCTTCATCTTCCTCAACCAAACACTTTTCTTATTTGCGTTTTGTGCATTTATATTTATCTCTACCACTTTATAACTTCTGATAAATTTAGGTGGTTCTACTTCCTATTGCAGATAGACTCTCAACAGGTATTACCGTAGCTGATATTGATTTTTCATTGATTGACTCAGTGAGAGCAAAGATACCGATTGCCCAGGTAAATCCTGTTGAATTCCTTTTTTAAGAACTTAAGTTTGGAAAAGATGCCAAATCCTGGGCCTGACAGAGTCTTTGGGCTCAATACCAGCCTTTGCCATTTTAAGTAGTGGCACATATTGCTTATTTACTTTGGCATTGGAGACCTTCCTTCTTAGCTGTCCAGAGAGTGAGCATTTGGAATTTATACTGTTCCATCCTGCTAATATCTGTTTTCTGTCTCATACTAATATAAAACAGTAGACGGGGGTGATGAGTCTCAACTCTGCTGTTAGGCTGGGTTTGGGTTATGCAGCAGCCAGGTAAAGGTTTAGCCAGCTTGAGTAATATAGTGCTAATCCTAGTCCACGTTAGTCATTAAGATCTAGGACAAGAGATTGTGGTTAATTAAGTCTTATCAGACTAGGTTCAACGTTTGTGGACTTTTGCTTTGCTTGGTGCATTTGTACATGTGCTGTCCTTTTTAGGGGTAAAAACTTACTAAGGGCACAAAGGGTGGAAGCCAAGCACAAAAAAGAGATTTATTAAATGCCATGGAATCCTCAAAATCAAGAACTTTCACAAAAATCATACCAAAGTTCAGAAATTAGGAATTTTAAGCCAATTATTAATTAAAGAATTAGGATTTTTCTCTCCCTCCAAAGCACTCCTGCAATATTCACTCTCAATTGCTCAAAAAGTAGTTTCATGGGAATGCATGTGTTTACATAAAGTTTATCCGTCATGGTTTTGCAAGTTCTTGTGTTTGTAATGAAATTCTTTTTTTGTACCTCAGCAACGGAAACCCATTGATTTCTGGAAATCTGCATCTCTTTGATTTACAAAGATGGAGTTCCACCACATCTGTTATTATTATCTAGATGGTATGTTCGAAGCCTCATGAAATTCTTATTGCGTCGTAATTCAAGGACAGGCCGTGAATACTCTTCTTAAGGTGTATAATATAGTTATGCGTCAGTGAATTGCAAAATAGGTTAAAATTTCTCTTATCAAGAAGCTGCTTTGTGTGCTTCAAGTTATGCATATCTATGTCATTAGATTCTTGGACTGTAAGCCAAGAAATGATTCATTATTTTTCAGTAGCTGACTTGATGCGAAGATTATAGAGAATTCAGACATTTTACTGTCTTTCCTTATTTCTGGATGTGCCAAAGTCATTTTCTGGATTAGATGTGCCAAGTTATTAGAATCAAAATGATTAGAATCCAAATTTGAATTTATCCAATTTTTTCTTTTTCTTTTTGATACATTCATTAGAGTGCTATATCATGCTAAAACTCCTATGGATCTATACACTAGAAAGATCTGAAAGAGACAAGTGCCATTTGAATTTCAAATTTGCCAGATTAGTTAAGGTCAAATGTTTCATTTTCATATAGCTAGCTTCCACATCCAATCATGTGATAATTGAGATACGCAATAGGACCAAAGTACCTAACCCATCTAAGATCAGTTGATAAAGCTATATTTTATCTTTGAAAAGGAATACCATTGGCTTTTGTTGGCTGATCACTGTTTCTAACAGTTAAAAGATGAAATTTCCACAACTGAAAGTGAAGGGAATCTCTTACAATGCTTCAAATATTCTCTTTTTAGTAAGATCAAGTCGTTGACTGATTCTACATTTCGCCTCTCTCTTTCTCATTGAAATAAATCAACCTAATTTTTTTTATTTAATCGAATTAATTTTTTAACCATACTTAATCGAATTGTTTTAATCGAATTAATTTTGATTATTAACCGAACCAAAGTTAAAGAAAATGAAAACATATTTAACCGGCCGATCTAATCGAGTTTTGTGATTAACTGGCTTTAATCGAAATAAAAATTGAAATATTTTTAATTTTTAATTTTATTATTTACTTAATCAAAACAATACAGTTTTGAAAGTCGGTTAATTTGATTAAATTTTAACCGAATATTTAACCAATCACTGAAAATTTAATTTTTTTTAATTTAATTTTTAACAGAATATTTAATTCACTAAATTGAATTAGTCGAATTGACCAATGAAATGCTGCCCTTACTTTTTTTCTAACAAGTTGGAAACTTTAAAAGATATGCAAGTGTTAATAAAATATTTAATATTATAAGGTAGACATTAGATTGTGAGAACATTTCATCAATCAAGAATTATAGATAAGGCCTTAACTTACCATTCTTCTATCCAAGAATAAGCAGATCAAGAAATCATTATAAACCAACTACTCATGAAGAGAACAAGCTTTCTTCTTTTCATCTCCATTACAACTATCCTCATTTTTTCTCATTCAATCAATGGAAACCAGATCACAAACATCACGCTTCAACAGCTGCAAAAAAAAAAAAAAAAAAAAAAAAAAAAAATCTTCTTTCATCTCCATTAATCAACTTATACTACAATTATTTACTCTATTCATATCCAAAATGGAAACCCAGATCACTATAACCATACGCTTCAATACAGCTTCAAAAAAAATATAAAAAAAAAGAGAAAAAAACAAAATTTTTTTTGCTATTCACAATTGAAATTGAAAGACGAAACAACATGTTGCACCATCGCCAGTAACTAAAGATCAATATTAGTCTTGGTTTAGATGATTCATCTGGGAAACCTCATGAAAAATATCATACATCGAAGCCACTAAAAAACCACTCTAAAGAGTACTAAAAGCAAGGTGGTTCCTATGGAGATTTGAAAAAATGTGCTATTGACATTTTTTGAGGAAAAAAAAAAAAAAAAAAAAAAAAAAAAATTGTTTCTATTCAATTGAGATTGAGACGACAACATGTGCACCATCGGCCAGTACTAAAGATCATATTAGTCTTGGGTTTAGTGATTCATCTGGAAACTTGATCATAATGAAGCCACTAAAAAAACCCTCTAAAGGGTACTAGAAAGCAAGGTGGTTCCTATGGAGGATTTGAAAAATGTGCTATTGACATGTTTGAGGCAAGTGGGCCATGCATGAGACAAAGTGTCTGCTCGTTTTAGTTGTTTCAGTAGATACCGCTATTTAAAATAAAAGTATTTAGTAAAATAAAAGTATTTAGTAAAATAAAACGATAAAAAAGCATGAAATTGAGGAATAAGGTAAAGATAAGTTATGAGTATAGGACGATAAAAAAATATGAAAGTAAGAAATAAGATAAAGATAAAGATAAGTGATGGATACAAGTTCCATAAAAATTTATAAAACGCTAAATATTAATAAAAAAATATTTTATGAAAACGACATAATTAATTAATTAATTAATTAAAATAATATTTTAACACAATCAAAACACTAAACACTAGTGCTAAATACCGGTGCTGAACATGGCATGCATCTTAAAAAATTTGGGTCTGATGATTGGAGACCAGGTTGAGTAAGGTGTTTCATCTAAGAGGGTAATGACCATTTACTCTCAATTTCTAATGTTTTTTATTTTAGAATATTCATGCCAGAAAACGTATGGTATGGGTTTGATTATTGTCACACTGGACATGGGTTTATGCCTCAGGTTGCAAGTTTTGTTACAGACTAATAAATAGTCTAACGTTTTAGTTTAAGCTTACTATACCCTTGAGAAAATTATGTGAATGGTACTTATTAAATTTCTTGATTTTAAAAAATTTCTTTCTTCTTTTTTATTTTATTTTATTCAGGATACTTGATTTCTTAATTTCTATTTCTATATCCAGAAAGCAAAAATGCTGAAAACAAGAAATTAGAAAAGAGAATATTTTTCATAACCAAATAAGCCCTTAGTATCCTGAGATCGAACTCATATTATTTCTTTACACGTGAACTCGGAAAATATCTTTATAACCAAACATTTATAAAATTGACAATAGTATTAATTCAATGTCACCTTTTTTTTCAACAAATAATGAAATTTTATTCATTATGACGTATCTGAATTATGGATTTACAAAAAAAAAAATCTAAAACATAAAGCACAAGGATTTACTAAAGAAGACTATGATTTATGTAAAGCCAGCTTTTGTGCCGTCCAAATTTTCATTATGGTTATTTCACTAAACAGACATTTATGACAGTATCAAAACATAACGATATAAAAATAGAAGCACATTTGCTTATATATCACAATATCAAAACATTAAAGTTTTGAGGTGGCAAAAAAAAAAATAATAATAAATAACTTTTAAGGTTCTGAATTGGTAAGGAAAGTGATTTTCTTTTCAATAGTTAACTAAATAATTAATAATATCATTAATCTTATTTCAAAATAATCTCTTTTTTAATTTAATGATATTAAATGTCCAATTTTTTCAACAATTAACTAAATAATAACAAAATCGTGAATATTATTTCAAACAATAAAATTTTTAATTTCTTTTTTTTATTTCAATAATATTAAATATTCTTCAATTTTTTCAATAATTAGCTAAATAATTAATAGTACCACTAATACTGTTTTAAATAATATTTTTTCTAATTTAATAATATTAAATGTTCTTCAATTTTTTTAATAATTAGCTAAAAAATAAACAAGATCATTAATATTATTTGAAATAATAAAAATTTTCAGTTGCTTTTTCTAATTTAACAATATTAAATGTTCTCATTTTTTTAATTAACTAGATAACTAATAATATCATTGATATTATTTCAAATAATAAAGCTTTTTTATTTTTTCTAATAATTAATAAGTTAATAATATTATTTACTATTTCATTAATAAAAATTTTTAAAAAATCAATATTTATACTATAATAAAGTTGTAAATTGAATATATAGAAAAAAGAAGCACCAAAAGATTTAAACCTAAAATTTATATGAGGCTATTGATTAAAAAAAATGAAGAGTTTTTTTTATTACTGTAATAATTATTGAACATAGAAAAAAAAATCAAAGAGTTTTTTCATTAACATAATAAATTTATTTTAGAGTTATTAATTATTGAATTCAATTAATAAGGAATGAGTTTTTAGTGCTGTATTACTGGTTAGGAAGGAATCAACCTAATGTCTTTTTTATTAATGATATTTATAGTTTCAATGGTTGAAATTTGAAAACAATAGAAAAATAATTGGAGGACAAAGTGTCTAGCTCCTTCCATTATTTTTTCCTACAATTTTTTTTTTTTTATTTTGCTAGAACAAAATTGATGGACCTAAAAAGGAAAAAAAATCCTAACCTATGCTATCTAAGAAATTAATTAAACCTCTCCTTGCTATATAATTCAAAATATTAAATTCGCCCAGGGAAATACTTTATGGAAAATTACATTAAGCATGATATGCTATGGATTTCATTCAAATCTAGAAGGACATATATAGCCGAACACAATGACCCAGTTAGAAATTAGCTGAATACAGTGACGAAGTTAGAAATTAAATTCACGGGACTAAAAAAATTAATTTCAATAATTTATGGAGTAATTTATGTGTTAAGATTTTGGAATGTAATAATAAGAATATACTAAATTCATACAATGTTATTTAAATTCTTAAAAATAATATAATAAAATTGCACTGCGCAATATTTGAGCACATTACTAGTTACATATGGAAATAGTAAGAGAAAAAATTAATGATTCTCATTTTTTTTTTTTTTTTCACACTATTGGTAATGCCTTCTAACTCTTCTTTTAATGGCAACAGAATGCAACATGACAATGTGACAGAGTAATAATGTCTGGGATGACAAACATTTGGAGGTTTCATACCAATAGTCTATGTCAAAATGATATTATAAAATCAATTGTCCTTCTGAATTTTGTCAACAATCCCTTTTTTTTTTTTTTTTTTTTTTATTGTTATATGCCTTCTAACTCTTCTTTTAAATGGCAACAGAATGCAACATGACAATGTGAAACAGAGTAATAATTGCCTTGGGATGATCACACACATTATGAGGAGGTTTCATACACAAAAGTCAATGTCAAACATGATATTAATAAATCAAAATTGTTTCCTTCTGGACTTTTGTCAACAATACCCTGTTTTTTTTTTTACTATTTTTTTTTAGAAAAAAAACAATCTATAAAATTTTAAGCAAATATCATCTCATTAAGATTCAAGTTTAAGGCGAGATTCATAATTTATAAAAATATGAACAGACAAACGCTGAATAAATAAAGCCATCTAAGCTGATGAGCAGTGAAAGAACTATTGATGAGCTTATTAGCCATCTAATATACACTAAACAAAAACAGTCATTAATATCTTAATCACGTATTAAAAGCTTATATACCATTTTTACCTAACACAAAAAAAAAAAAAAAAAAAAAAACTACATAATAAAGGAAACCTCCAAACCAAAAAAAAGAAAAAAAAAAAACAGAGAGAGAGAGAGAAGAGAGAGAGAGTTGTAGTATATTAGGAAAAACTTCAAGTAGCACAATTTCTAAGTAATAGGATATCAACAAATGTTTTACATCCTACCAAAAAGGAAGGCCCAGCTCATTGGAAATCCATTGTAGCAAAGATCCTTCTGTGTAATAATCAGGCATGGCAAGGGAGGTCAAAAGGCCTGGTGCCTAAATGTCCTTTCAGAATGTAAATTTGACCTATCCCTGAGAAGAATGTAACTTTCATCAAAGAGCTTTCTATCTTCCTCTTCTTTTAACGGCAGCACTAACCTCTGAATTCAAAAGCCACAATATCACTCTCAATTGTATTGGCTTCACATTCCTCAACCAGCAACATAGTCTCACTCTCCTCCAAAAAAAAAAAAAAAAAAACTACATAATAAAGGAAACCTCAAACCCAAAAAAAGAAAAAAAAAAAAAAACAGAGAGAGAGAGAGAGAGAGAGAGAGTTTCAGTATATAGAAACTTCAAGTAGCACAATTTCTAAGTATAGGACTATCAACAATGTTTACACATCCTACCAAAAAGCCCAGCTCATTGGGAAATCATTTTAGCAAGAATTCTTCTGTTGTATAATCAGGGCTGGCAAGGAGGTCAAAAGGCCTGGTGCCTAAAGTGTCTTTCAGAATTGTAATTTGACCTTCCTTGAGAAGAATGTCTTCATCAAGAGCTTCTATCTTCTTCTTTAAGGCGCTAACCTCTGAATTCAAAAGCATATTCCTCTCATTGTATTGCTTCACTTCCTCCCACATCAAGTCTCTCTCCTCAGAAACTTTGGGTAGAATACCCTTTATTATTGTCAGTTCCTTCATACATTCTTGGAATTCACTTTGTAGCCGACTTATGTTCTCATCCTTCTTCTGCATCTGTTCAATAGAAGAAATATGTTACTGCTGCAAAATTTGGCGCGCAAACAAAGATGCAAGTAATGTAAGTTCCCTAAGAAGTTGTATTTTGTACATTTTCTAAAAGTATAAAGCCTAACCCCACAGCAACAACCAAGAGAAATATGCAAGTGCTTAGTAAATAAGTGAAAATCATCAACCCACTCAAATTAAGAAGCTAACAGATATAACGAATATGCATAAGCATCAAGCTGAAAATGTAAAATGTAGTATTCATTCATTTGAACCACCAAGAAAACTTCTCTGATGGTCGATAATTGTTCCCATGACCATTGAATTTCTCTGCCTCTATTTATGAACCATTGAATTTCTCTGCCTCTATTTATGATTGTCTAGAACCTCAGACACTTAAGCGTGCTAATTTGATAGTCTGGTAGAACTTCTTGAATACCAAAACTAGTGTAATTGTATCTTATGAAGTGTTTGAAGTTTATTATCCTAAGCATAACCTTGGGAAAAAAACGGCATTTAACATCACATTGTCACAGAAAAGTCGATTACCTGAAGTTCAAAGTCTTTTAACTTGTGGCTGGCACAAGAAAGATTGTCCATTGCATTTTGGACCTCACATCGGAGGATGTCATTACCTCTCACTGCTGCTGCCAGTTCAGCCTGCAGCTGTTCAACTTCCAACTCTTTAGTGTACAGCTTCTCTCTTAACAGACTTGTAAGCAAAGTTTCTGCTTTAAGCTCAAATTTCAAGGTTTCCTACACAGGTAATAGGAAAAAGAAAATCAATAACAGCATTAACAATTAAAAGTACATCTATAATAACTAGTCAACCCCAAATCTGAGAACAACATATATCAGCAAACTCAGTTCAAAAAGAAAACCCTATAATAACAAATTGAATAATTCTCCTTGATTTAGATGGCAGCTCACCTCTGAAGTTTGATGATTTAGTTTCCCTGAACCATCAGCCTTAGTGCATGGCAACTCAAATTTTGAAGTAACCGGACTGGACTTCTCCTGTAGCAAAGAAGATATTGTCTGCAAACTCCTTGTGAGGTTTTCTGTTCCACGCTTAAAGCCTTGAATTTTAATGTCTGCTTCAACAACAAACTGCCCATCTAAACCATTTCTTATAAGCTCTATACCCAGCTCTGGAAGTTGGCCTGTTTTCCCCTTGATGAATTCCAATAACTTGCTGCATAGTTGAGTGCTCTCTTTTAGCATCGTTATCCCTTGATTTTGCAGACAGGATGTACGAGTCCACATTTCTTTATCTAGCTTTAAAGTTAAAGCACCAATGTCTTCCCCACTGCCCTTTAAGCGATTTAATAAGCCAATATTCTCATGTCGAAGGGAATCGATTTCAATCCTTTGAGATTCCACCTCCCTTCTTAAAGCCAATTCTATGCCAGTCGACCTCATTTGTTCCATTTGCAATTTTTTTATGTGCTTGTCAAACTTGCCCAATGTTTGCTTTTTCTCATTTTCCTCACTAAATGCTTCCCGCAACCCTTCAATAGTCTTCTCTTGTTCACTGCAGGTCCTTGACAATCTTGCAATAGACTTCTGCAACTCTTTGCATTCCTTCTCCTTCTCTTCGAAATTCCTTTTGATGCAATTAAAATCTTCTTCTGCTATGGTGGATTTATCTTGTAGTTCAGAAAGATGTTCTCTCAGATCATGATTCTCCTTGCTCAACTCTTCCACCCTTAAGGTCAGTTGTCTAAGTTGTTGCTCTGAATATGTTATCACACTTTTGCTTTCTGTTTCCCTCTCATTAAAAGAAGAAACTTCCCTCTGAAGAGAGACATTCTGCTCTGCAAGTTCTCTAACACGCTCACGCAGCCTCTGCTCTTCTAATTGGTACTTCTCAAGCTTTAATGACCAGTCACTTGACCTTCTGTCTAACTCTTTTTCTAATGCCGATTGCAACTCGCTTTTCTCCTTCTCTAGTCGTCGCGTACATGACTCCGATTCAGCCTTTGCTGATCTAATTTGTTCCCTAGAATTATCTCTCTCAGCAATTTGAGACATTAGAAGACCTGAAACCTCAACAGCCAAGCTTAGTTTATCCTCTGTTAAGTTTCTAATAGTCTGAATCAATGAAGGCACATCAAACCCACTATTATGAAGAAAGCATTCTTGGTCAAGTTCCTCAGAAAGAAGCAAGACCCTCTCCTCAGCAGCTTTGGATCTTTGCTGTAATTCTACATCTAATGAATCCTCAGACGAAATAAACTTGACATCCCCAACATTGTTTCCAATTGAACAATTTTGTTTCCGAAAGCCTGTGAAATCATTTCCACGATAATCATCGATGGTTTCATAAGGTTCCTCTGATGAGTAACTTCTTCGGGAAGGAACATCCAAATTTGAATCAGTGCATTTATTCATGGATCCTCCATAGATATCTTCAATTGTGATTGGGATATCACAGTCAAACTCTTTTGAACTTGATTTATGGGAAGAAGTTTGGGAGAGTCTTTCGATGACATTCTTTGCAAGTCTCCGTGGAGATTCATGACCAAATCCATTCTCTACCCAATCTGTGGAAACGAAACGAAGGCGGGAACCTTTAGCATCCCGAAAAGATTGAGACCTGGGTTTATCATTGACACCATCAGTTGGTGACTCAGGTGCTGTGTATTGAACTCGCGGTGGAAGCCTTCTACCAGCATTTCCATTCCGAGCCAAATTTCTTCGAAATGCAGTGTTTTTGGGCTTACTCCTTTCCTGCTGCTGCTCTCCATCAATGTAGAGATCCAAAACTTTACTTGAGACATTAGTAGAGGTAGAGTTTGCTGAAGAACTGGAAGAACCAGGCCTATCTTGTCCATATCCATTTTGAACTGTAGCCACTCCATGTCGCTTCGCTTTGGCTTGCCTCTCAGGAGTTAGAGCCCGCCTCCTAACATAAACCAAATGCCAATAAATTACTATCATGAAGAAATTAAAATAAATGGGGCAGAAAAATGCTACAGCGAAATTTAGTGTAATTGTATGAAATGAAAGTCTGAACAGAACAGTCTGTATTACTATATTAGTGAATTAAACAAGCCTTACCGAGTTGAATGATCATATTGCTGATGAGCAGCACCAGTGATGCTACTAGAAGGAGATCTACTTTGATCAGCTGTGCAAGAAAAATCACTTTGCGGCATTCCATCAACAAGGAAAGCAGCTGATGACATTGATCGGCTCCTTCTAAGACATGAACTTGTGCTGGAGCTAGAGTTATCATATACTTGCTTTGAACTCTGGAAACTGTTCTCAGCCTTATCACCGCTTTGATTGTTCATCCCCATTTCCAATGGGATATCCCAGTAAACTTGCTTATCAGTTGGCAGCAGAGTACCAGAACCGCTGTTTCCATTTTTGGTAGAAGAAGAAGAAGTAGAAGATGATGATTTGAAAAAGAATAACTTCTTCATCAGGGCACCTTGAACTATAACAGTTATTTGTAGCTCATTAAAATCAGTGGTATTTTATAGCCAGTTCTGACAAGGAAGGGGGTCTTGCTAACCTGGACTTCAATTGCATAAACAAAAAAATAAGAAAACAGAAAAAATAAAAGGAAATGCAAGGACAATAGACCCTAGATTCACGAACAGCATACAACTTGGCAAGTTCAGTATAATAGGATTCTTTTTGCCAATCCAACAAAAATCGGCGAGAGAGAGAGAGAGAGAGAGAGAGAGAGAGAGAGAAGAGGATATTTACGGTGTGAGAATGTCTTTGCGAAAGGGAAGGCCATCTATGGAAATGGTGTAAATGAGAGTGGCGAACATTACGCAACATAAAATTAAAAAGAGAGTTCTTAGCCCAATTGCTAATGGAATCGCCAGTTCTACTATGGCAAAGGTTTTCTGCGAATATTCTAAGAGAGTGCAGAGCAGAGAGAGTATTAGTCAAGACTCAAGATGGAGTGGAAAGAAGAAACGATATAGCGAGTGAGGTCGTGTCCACGTCATCACTGCCTAAAGATTAAGGTTATAAATTTGAAACTATTAAAAACTAATCTGCATATTTATCTATCAGCATTAGTACACAAAATATTTATAAAATATTACACGATATAACTATTAGATAAGATAACAACGTAGTTGTTATAAAGACTTATTCAAATTCTATTCTGTTATATTTAGATATATACAAGTTCCTTGAAACAAGGATTAGAAGAGTCTGTAATTATGTATTTAAATTACACTTGTATGTGAATCAAACACTTAAAATTAGTTTCGCAATATCAAGCTTAGTATAGGTTGTAATAAATACCAGCACACTAATCAGCAAAAAATCATCAATCAACTACATAAGAGAAAAAAATACAAATCTTGGAATTTCAGAAAATGTAAATAAGAAACCAGCCAAGAACTTAAATCGAAGTCAAATAAGCCAGAGAGAATCATGTCCATAGAATCAAAAATTCAGTTAATATAGAATAAAATTAGTTATCTTCATCTCCAGACACACACATGAAACATATTAATTTTTAAAAATAACAAAGCAAAAACGGCTTGAAAGTTGACAAAAAAAAAAAAAAAAAAAAAAGGACTTGGTGTTAATAAACATATAACCTTAATTAACCAAATAAATTGAGGAACAAATATACATAGCATGTACAAGATTAAAATTTTATTTCGCAATATCAAAGCTTGTATGGTTAATAAACCAGCACTAACACAAATACCATCAATCAACTACATAAGAGAAAAAAATACAATCTTGAATTTGAAATGTAAATAAGAAACCAGCAGAACTAAACGAGTCATAAGCCAGAATCATGTCCATAGATATAAATCAGTTATATGAATAAATTAGTCTTTCTCTCAGACACACACATGAAACATATTATTTTAATAACAAAGCAAACGGCTTGAAAGTTGAATGCCATAATACCGTTGATACCTGAACTTTATATAAATAAACAAATAAACTAAGGAAAACCCAAAATTAAATAGAAAAAAGGAGTTCAAAATCAAATATAGAAACAGCAATTGGAGTTCAGCAACCTTAGCAAACAGTAAAAATTCGTAGAACATACAACAGAATCATAATAAAATACAAGTATGTCAGGCCTTCTAATTTAATCTAACTTTCAGCAAAACCCTAAAAAGACCTAACTACCCCCACCATCTTCATTTCTAAAAACCCTTGACTTGACAAAAACTGACAGCAGCAGAATCAATTATCATACACTTTTAAAACTTACCACAATACCGAGATTCGAGCCAAACAATCATAATCCCTAAATTGATTTTGCTAAATTCCCACAAGTTTAAATTACAGTAACATTAGTTCAAAACAGAAAATTGAAAATCGTTGCCAAATTTCAATTTTCCTCTTAACATTCATTACTTTGCTTCCCAGGGAATCGGAAAACAAGAAAATAAACTATACTCTGTTTATTTGCTCACACACCCCAAAAAAAAAACAAGTAACCAGTAGAGTGAATTTCCAAGAAAACATCAACATCAGTAGGAAAAAAGAAAGGATAATAAAATCAGAAAAAAAAATCACTTTGCAAATTGTTTTTTTCCTTTTCCACATGCTCAAAATTTTCTGGGCAACCAAACAGACAAAGAAAAAAAAACCTCCACTTACCACTTCTTTCGTCTTCTCCTCTTTCTAACGGTCAAAAATCAACAGACCACTTTCTTTCCAAGAACCAATAACCCACTCCAAAAATGATTCAAGAAACGCACACAAACGGATAATAACGAACGATTTTTTTAGAACTTAATAACTTGCCATAATTGGCGAGATCCTAAAGCATTCAAAATTCAAAAATATATATTTTAAAAAATTGTTAGAAACCCAGAAACGGAAATTTAAGGAAATGATGTTATTACTATTTACTAATTAATGAGCTTTGAAAATTATAATACGAAAATGAAAACAAAATCTTACTGGGGCCCAGGTGGTGTAACAGTGTCAACGGCCGGCGGGAAAATACGTTGAAGTTCTTGGACTAACGGTGACGGAAATATAAGAGAGAGAGAGAGAGAGAGAGAGAGAGAGAGAAGTTCTTTTTTATTGGAAATGAGAGAGAGAAGTTCCTGGCTGAGCAGTGAGAGTGAGAGGGAGTAAGAAGAGGGGTTTAACTTTCAGTGGAGAAATGAAGGGAAGGGGTAATTTGGTCAGAAAATGAAATTTTGATTTTTTAAAAATATTTGGAATGCCGCGTATAAAGCGGAGGAGGAGCGGGGGAGATTAGAAAGTGTGATACGGTGCAAGGAAGTAAAAGTGGGACCCTTTCAAATGTTTTTGTGAAAAATTGAAAATTAAAACTTTTGACATCTTTATATTGGACCTTATCAAAATTAAAAAGCTTTTATTTTATGAAAAAAAAATTAAAATTTATCAATTAAGCGTAATTTGATTGGTCTTTTTCAATAATATAAGAAGAAAAAAAATTCTTAAATGTAAGTCTTACAATTAAAATTTTTATAGAATGTATTTATTTACTCGCAGTGGATGAACCAACTCATATGTGAAACTAGTAAATTAATTTACATCTAATATTACAAATATAGTTCTAATTTACCTTTCACACGAATTAAGAAATTAAGAAAATACAGTGAATATGGTTAATGATAATTTTTTCTCAGTAATTTTTAATATATATTAATTATTAAATGATCTTTTTATTTTATTATAATTAAATGGTACATACTAATTACTTTAAAATTTATTAAAATTAATTTTTTCAAATACAAAAATCAAATAATCAAAGTTATGAAATAGATCAATGTGGATAGCAATGATGGTGACTTTTATTAATCGAGATAGACATTAAATAGGAGTAGGATAGAAAAGATGAAAAATAATTCTTTTTTAAAAGAGAAAATAGAATTATAATTTGGATAATTGAAAAGGAAAGTGATCAGATTTTTATGGGATACGAGGGAGTATTTAAAGAAATAATTATTACTAGTTGGTCCCTTTTTTAGTGAAAAAAAAAATATTAACATCTTCGTTTATATTAAATATTTTTATAAATTGATGTATGAGTGACTCATACACTAAAAATAGTAAGTGCTTAAATTCATTTATTTTTATTAATTTAAATCTGATTAAAATTTGAATTCAAGGTATATTAATTAGAGACTATTGCAATACCATATTTGATCAAGTAAATTATAACCAAAAGTCCAAGAAAGTGTACATAAATTCTCCGTCCATTCCATAATTTTTATTATAATTTGACTTATACATAAATTAAGAAAATTTAATTAATATAATTAAACTATAATTTGTACTTTATTTTTTCTTAATTTACTCGTGTGCTAATTGTTATTAGAATCTCCCCTTAAAAAAGAAATTTCATTAGAATCGAATGATCCATATTAAATTATTTTTAAAATTAATTAAATTATAGTTACATATTTGATTAAAAATAGAGTTTTCTTAGTATATTAAAAGTCGATATTTTAATTTTGTTTGTATGAAGATTTTAATTAATAATAATGTAGTTGTTTGACTATTATATTTATTAATAAAGAATCATATTATGAGAATAAAATAGTAAAATTTAAATATTATTCGTTTTTAAAAAAGAAATAGGACAATAATTTAGGACGGATGAAAAAAAAAGTAGAACTTATAGACAGATGGAGTAATTAATATTTTGAAAATGAAAGGTATATGAATGTAAAAAAATGGATAAAATAATTATGATTATGAATTTGAAAACTCTTTATCTTGATGTAACAACAGTTTCATTGTTGTACATTGAAAATCTCTTTACATTTCAAAAATAGCTTTCTTACTCTCAATTAATTATCCTTTAAATTTCAATTTGATGGATAGTAATAGTATTTGCCTCTCATTATTCAACTTATTGTATAAACAAATAATTAAAATGAGTAATTACAATAGAGAGTATAATTTAAATTGGAAGTGTAATTCATTTATCTAAAAATAATTTGAATAATCAATTATTGCCAAATATAGAACATTTAAAAATATAAATATAAATAGATTAAAAAAAAAAAAAGATGAAAGAGCAATTCAAATGAGGTTTGGCTTCAAGCTTGTCCACCTTTTTGATTAATTAAACATCATTAGGCTTCTATTTCACATAACTTTTTTCACATTACCCATCTAATCATCATCCTTTTCCATGCTTAGATGCTCATAATCATTATTAAGAAGAAAGCTCAACAAAGCTAACATGGATTTGTTAGGGAATTGAAAAACACATAAAAGTGCATAGTTCTCTTAATTTATTAATTGTGGATAATTTTCAAACTAAGTTTGTAGAGATTTTAGATATTGTTCTTTATTATATTCAATTTCAACATAAACAAATTTTAGTCTTCTACTATTTAACTCAAAAGAGATACTTTGGTGGTATATATGTGAATTTACTGAATTGCTGACTTAGATTTCATTCTTAAAAAATCATATTACTTTAATATAGATAGTTTATGGATAAAAAATAATTAGTTTAACATTTATTGATTTTTATATATTGATTTTTATAACAATTAAATACATTTCAATTTTTGGTACTTTGATTATTGAATTCTAATTTGTTGTAATTGGAACTTTTTGAATATGATTTTACTAAGAAATTAATTGAAAATATTTTTTATTTTAATTTGATTTTAATGTCCCATTCAATTTATAAATATTTTGAGAAAGAAAAGAGAAATTTTAATACTTCTAGAAGTACGGGTAGTTTTATAATATATTCATTTATATGTGAAGTTAGATTTCTTTTTCAGATTTTTTTTTTTGGTGTAAAACACCGGTATTCGAATCCTATTATCATGGACCAACCGATTTAGAGCTCTTCGGCCTTCCCTTCAAACACGTTTAGCGGGGATCGAATTCAAAAGTTCTTCCCTCATACTCAGTTTGCGTTGTCAACTCAGCCACAACCCACAACTTTTTTCAATTTTTTTTTATTAAAGTCACTAAGAGTATATTAACAAAATAAATTTTGATGACTAAACTATAATAAATTGAAATTAATGCTGAGTTTAGTGGATATTACAATAATGTTTTATTTATTAAGGGTTTATTTAGTAAAATTAGTTGTTTTAATATCTATTAGTTGTTTAAGTAGCTTTTCATGAAACGCTTAAAGTTAAACATTATGCGGGTTAACTTTTCACAAAACGTTGCCTTAATTTCTAAAAATTAGTTCAAACGCTATGAATCAAACACTATAAAAAAATAGCGTGTAGCATTTTAACTGATTCAAACACTAAAAAACTACTTAAAAGTTTATTGCCACACCCGACGTAAGTGTCCAATTTAACCTTATCCATTGATATTAATAAAAACTTGTGGAACTAAATTATAATCGATAATCTTTCTTTATTTATAATTTTTTAATCTTAAAGTTAATGGTTATTTTTTCGACAAATCAAGATAAATTTAACATGGGCTCATGAAATCAAAAAATAATAATTTAATTATATAAAAGTGCACATGGGTGATTATCACTCCAAAAAGGTTTCCTTCCCCTTTTCAAATATTTTTTAAACTTTAAACTGACCTGAAAGCTTCAATTCATTAGGGTTTCGTGGGCCTTAAGCAGAATAGGAAGGCAAGTTACGTACTCTAGCTATATAACTTTACTTTAGATATTGGGATGTGTCTATTCAAAGCTAGAAAGATAAAATTGAGGCAGCTTCTCAATGCATTTTGTCCATTAAAGCTAAAGTTCACTAACAAAAGACTACATCACAACCCAACTACACTTCCTTCAATTTCCATTTTTCTTTTGAGGTTGGACCTCTGTACCTTTTAGTAAATTCCATACTCATCCAAATCCAACCCATTTCCTGGTGGGGTTGGTCCAACCACAATCCATCAAAAAGGTTGAGTCGATTTCGAATGAGAAAAATATTTAAATAATTCATATTGAATCTTGCAAATTTTAATTAATTAAATTATATGAGTCAAATATTAAACTGTATATTTCTTAATATATAGATAGATATAGTTTTTTAAATTTTAAATTATGATTAGACATGTAAATTTTTAAATTTGAATAAAATCAAATTTAAATAATTTAAAATTCACTTAATTATTATCAACCAACTGTGGTCTGACTGGTTTTCTCATTTATGTGAAAAGTGGTAGGTCTTGAATTTGAGTCCTTCTTACTGTGTAACCCGTAATATTATTTCGACCCATTCAACCTCCATATTAATAAAAAAAAAATTCACTTCATTGTTTATGAGAAAAATTATATTGGGAATGCCAAATTCAAATTGTTTAAAGTTATTGAAAGAAATAACATGAATTAGTGATTTTGGATCATGTGATGGGCTCAATTATTCAAAACTGCCTCAACTCTGATGGGTTTACATTACTTCGGAATGCTACAGAAAGCCCAAAGCTGATATCAATTGAATTGGCTGTCAGTAGAAACAGAAGGAGAAGCAAAACTAATTAGACCTCTTCAAAGCTATTAACTGTAGAAGTTGTATCCAAGAACAAACAAATAATGTTTTTTAATTAATATTTTATATTGTTAACTGTATTAAAAATAACATATTGCGATTAAGTATTTAACAAAACTTAACCAGAAAATGTCTAAGCTCAAGGCTAGCTAAAGGCAAGCCACAAGCATAACCATCTGGGTTCTGGCCTACCAAGGTTTAACCAAAACTAGAACCAGCTAGGGAATTCAACAAGCATAAGGCAAATATAACTTGTGTTGGAAAAAGAAAAGAAGCATAAATAAACAAGAAGAATAAGCCAGATATAAAAAAATGAAAAGAAAATCATAAAGAAGTATTAGACATTCTAAAGAAAACATTTGCAGCAGATACAGAATTT